ATTTTTCTTATATGTACCCATTTCATGTATTCACAACTATGTATACACTTATACTTATTATCTTGTAAACAATTGGCAAATCAAATAAATAAATAAATAAAATAAATATATGGTAAATCTGTTAAATAAATGCTGAATTCCCAGAAACCTCAGAAAAATGTCTTAGTCATTCTAAGAATGAGGCATTCAAAGGACATCCAGGATACATCTGTCTGTCTCAGTTTCCTGACAGAAATGAATCTGTGACTTTCACCCACAAAGTCACGTGCCACTAATAGCTGCTTAACACTTAGCAATAGTACTTAGGTTCATATCCTGCTTCATAGTGCTTTATAGCCCCCTCTAAGCGGTTTACAGAGTCAGCATATTCAATCGATCAGAATAGAGCTGGAAAGGAACTTGGAGGTCTTCTAGTTCAGCTGTATACCATTTCAGACTCCGCAGTCTCTTTTTAAACACCTCCAGTGATGGAGTGCCTAGAATGTCTGAAGGCAACTTGCTCCATTGCTTTATTGTCCCGCACTGCTAGGAAGTTTCTCCTTAATCCCAGGTTGCTTCCTCGAGTTTCCATCCAGGGTTTCTTGTCCCACCCTCTGGTGCTGTGGAAAATTAACAATCTGGGTCCTCAATTTACCTCAGAAGGATAGAAGACTGAGTCAACCTTGAGCCGGTCAGGATCAAGCTTCTGGCAGTGAGCAGAATCAGCTTGCAATACAGCATTCTAACCACTGCACCATCCCGCGGCTTTGGTTGCCCTGCACAGGAGAATGGAACTGGAAAGCAGGTTAGTGGGGTGGGGAGGGAATGGGGTTTTTTTGCAGTATCCTTCCCCTGCCACGCCCACCAAGCCATGCCCACCAAGCCACACCAGGCCCACTAAGCCATGCCCACAGAACTGGGAGTAAAATGCTTTGAATCCCACCACTGGTACAGAGGCCTGACGCAGAGGCTGGAGGATTCTAGATGGCCCCGGAAGTTGGAGTTATGCGGTTGGGTACAAAGCTGAAAGATGGTAGTCCAAGGGGGATCCTCCCTAGGTAAGATGGAGGGATCAATCCTCTTTGGATCACATCCTTTGGGCCAGTGGTGGGACTCAAATTTATTTTTACTACTGGTTCTGTGGGTGTGGCTTGGTGGGCGTGGCAGGAGAAGGATATATTGCAAAATCCCCATTCCCTCCCCACCCCACTAGCCTGCTTTCCAGCTCCGTTCTCCTGTGCAGGGCAACCAAAGAAGACCCAGCCGATCAGCTGGGACTCGGGAGGCAGAAAATAGATGGGGTCGGGGCCAGTCAGAGGTGGTATTTGCCGGTTCTCCAAACTACTCAAAATTTCCTCTACCCGGTTCTCCAGAACTGGACAGAACCTGCTGAATGCCACCTCTGCTTTGGGCTCTCTCTTCATCATCATCATCCTCACTTACCAGGGGGACACAGGCAGGCGATGCCATGGCTCTGGAATACACAGGTTCCCCCGTTGAGGCAGTGGCCTTGGAGACACTCTTCGACTTCACACAATGGCCCACCGAATCCTGTAAAGGAAAGATCTTAAGGAATCAAGAAGGAGGAAGGGGACCAAACAAGCGTCTGTCAAATGTTGTGCAGCAAATACATGTCTATCGGTTAAATCGAGATTGTGGAGGCTGGCAGCAGTGATGAAGAGATCCCCAAGGAGGCATGCGCGCAGGGCTGCTCAAAGGAAAGAGCAGCTGCAGCAGCACGGGCAACTCGGGAGTAAGGCTACAAGGTGATGGCCCCTCCCTGAGGAGATAAAAGCCAGCTAAGAAACCGCAGTTCTTTGCAGAAGGCAAAGAAGTTTTACAATCGAGCCTGGTGGACGTTAGGAATATCTGAGTTGGTGTTTGGAGACTCTTGTTGTTGGAATTATTGCTTAGTAACTTTATCTGGTATTCTTGGCAGCCTTGCCAAACCTTGTCTATCTTATCTTATCCGAGCTAATTGGTTTGAAGCAGACTTTTACCCGTGAAGGAATGGGATTTGAAAAGAAACATTAAAAGGTTGTGCTGTTACCTTTGTCTCGTGTTTGCTTCCTTGGAACCAGGTTTGGGTCAGAACAACCCTGGATTCCAGCAAAACAGCCATAAATCACAGTCACACGATCGTGGGACATTGCAAACAGCCATAATTGTGGGCAGATTGGCCAAGTGCCCAAAATATGATCATGTGACTGCATGGGGGGGGGGCAAACCTCAGAACTTCAAAACCGGGTCATAAATGCCCTTTTTGAGGTCCATGAACAGTTGCTAAGCAACCAGGTCTTGTGAGGGCAATCTGTATTAAATTAAATTAAACGTTTTAAGAAAAGCTTATGCCTTCGGATAAAAGTATTGGTTCAGAAAAAGTGCTGCTTGACTCCTATTGATTTACTATCCATTCAAATAAAATAAAAAAATCCATGAAATTTATCTACATTTTTGCCTCATCCAATGCCTTTGTCAACTCACAAAATATTTCCCTTGTCTTTTAGAGTTGCCAGCAGAAAAGGAGGAGGGAAGCAGTGCAGCAGCTTGCAAAACTAAAACTGCATTCCATAAATGTTTTCATAGATAGTTTCTAGGTGACCTAGAGCAGTGGTCCCCAACCACCGGGCCCCGGACTGGTACCGGTCCGTGGATCATTTTGTACCGGGCCGCAAAGAATGAAAGTTTGGGCGCCGCCATCTTGTTTCGGCGGCGCTTGAGAAAGTCCTTCCGGGTGAGCTTGTCGGTCGTTGGTTGGAAAGCGGCGTTTGGGTGCTGAAGGAATCCTCGCGCCTTAGTTTTGTCGAAGAGGGAAGGGGGCGGCTTTGAACGAAGAGCCGTCCCGATGGTGGTGGAGTCTCGCGTTACTCAGGAGGAGATTAAGAAAGAGCCCGAAAAGCCCATCGACCACGAGAAGGTACAAAGGAGGAGTTGAAGGTGGCGGGGAGAAGTGGGGGACGGCTGGCTGGCCAGTCGCTCGGCTCGCCTTGCCTTGGTCATGCGTGCTGATGCCAGTACCGGTCCGTGGATCATTTTGTACAGGGCCGCAAAGAATGAATAATTGTAAAACTGGTCCCTGGTACAAAAAAGGTTGGGGACCACTGACCTAGAGAACCTGATCGATGACTCTTGGCTATGGATGTGGCCCATTGTAGAATATGAATTATGATACACCCAGGGGGTGGGGGAAAACCAGGGTCAAGAGTGACAGTGAATGATGTGTCTCAGAGTTGGTTACACCCAGGCAGCACCGGCATATCTTCTCCTAATACATCTTCTTTAAGCTTTGAAAATCCGGCTAGAGACTCGTGATTTAAAAGCGGGTCAGTACCGGAGCCCTGACAGCCTTCTTACCAGATGGGCAGAGGCATTGGAAACGGTTCAGCAGGTCCAAGCAGGAGGCCCCGTTCTGACAAGGCTGGCTGAGGCACTCATTGAGGTTCAATTCGCACCTGGAGCCTGTGTAGCCCCTGAGGCAGGAGCAGGTAAACGAGCCGGGCGTATTGTAGCAGCTTCCTTGGTGTTCACATGGGTTGCTCCCTGGAGCAGGAGAGAGTCCAGAGAAAAACACAGAAATGTCCAATTCGTGTCATATAATCCAGTATATGTGGGTATATGCATAATATTTCATCCATTTATTCATTCAGTTAGTTCAGGGGTCCCCAAACTTGGTAATTTTAAGACTTGTAATTTTAATTTTAATTCTTGGTAATTTTAACCCAGAATTCTGGGAGTTGAAGTCCACAAGTCTTAAAGTTGCTAAGCTTGGAGGGTTAGTTAGTTAGTTACTTAGTTACTTAGTTATGTTTATGTAGTGTGCATAAGAGATGGAGACCAGTGGTGGTATGTTACCGGTTCAGACCGGTTCACCCGAACCAATAGTTTAAAAAAAAAAGCCTCCAACAATTAGTTGAGAGGAGAAAGAAAAGTGTAGGATCGCACACACACCCCAGTCGCCTCTGCGCTTTTCTCTTCTTTATCCTCACAGCCGATTGGCACTGCGGGCCTCGGCTGGTGTGGGGAAAGCTGCGCATGCACATTAGGGGCGTGCATAAGCACACCAACGTGCCTACCGTCCCTGTCCTATTGTTTCTCTTATTCTTCTTTTGTTTTTCTTATATGTACCCATTTCATGTATTCACTACTATGTATAAACTTATACTCATTATCTTGTAAACAATTGGCAAATCAAATAAATAAATAAATAAATAAAATTAGGTGTGTGCGTGTTTGGTGCAACGTGCACGCTTGTGCAATCACCGAATCGGTAGCGGGACAAGCAGGATCCCACTTGCTGATGGAGACCCTTTGGAAACTGTATGCGACGAAATTTCATTTTGATGTATGCCGATTAGTGTACAAGGTGACCATAAAGTTATTCTAAATCTAAGTCTTCTGCTAAACGTTATATTTCAAGGGTAAAAGTTTGCCAAAACGTTTTCTTGGAAGAGGTGGCATTTAAAAATCGCATTCGACCACAAGAGGGCGCGGGTGAGCTGCAAAAATTTGCCTCTGCGCCTCAGCACAAAAGCCGAGGCAGTTTTTGACTGAGGCAGCAATGGAGAGGGATTTAGAAAATTGCAGGTGTTTGGGTGACAATCGGTCTGCTCCAGAAACAGCCAGTCCTCGTTTAAGGGATGACCTCATTTAATGCCCATTCACAGTAATGAAAAAGCAACTTGGCAACCCATCCTTGCATTTGTGCCCTTTTGCAGTTCTGTAAAAGCAAAGGAAAGCTGAAGTAAGATGGATTACAATCGCAGTTTCGCTGAGCGACTGCTTTGCTTAAATACCAAGTTAAGTAACGATGGCTGTTAAATGAGGACTACCTGCATTGCTCACTTGTGGGTATTGGGGTTTCCCCCCCCCCTCCAGAAGAACAATGTAAACTTCTGGGTTGTGATACATGTTGGACTGTGCTGCTGCTGCTTATTATATTATTATTGTTATCCTTCGGATGGTGACCATGCTTGATGGGTGGGATTTTTTTTTCTTTTATGTTTATGCATTGGAATTTCATTATAAAGTATGCCATTGTACACACCATAAAGTGATAATAAAGATTATTCTATCTTAGTTTAGTTTAGCTAAACTTAGTTTATCCTGTAGCTTATCTTATATCTTATCTCATCTTATCTGTCCTTTCCTTTCCTTTCCTTATAGCAATAGAAATAGCACTTAGACTTATATATTGCTTTATAGTGCTTTACAGCCCTGCTCTTAGTGGTTTACAGAGTCAGTATATTGTCCCAAACAATCTGGGTCCTCGGAAGGATGGAAGGCTGAGTCAACCTTGAGCCTGGTAGGATTTGAACTGCCAAATTGCAGGCAGCTGGTTGCAGCAGAAGTAGTGCTGCACTCTAACCACTGCACCACCATGGCTCTTATCTTGTTGCTTATTTTATCTTGTAGTTGTAGCTTATCTTATATCTTATCCGATCTCATCTTATTTCATCATATTATCTTAATTTTCCTTACCTGACCTTATCATATCTTACCTAGCACCTTGCCTTACCTTGTCTTATCATCTATCATCCATCATGTATCCATCTCATCTTATGTCTTATGTCGACCCTTATTCCTCCAATCCATCTTACCCATCTGGCACTCGTCAATATCTTCATAGCACAGAGCTCCAGCATAACCCAGCTGGCATGTGCAGATGGCATGGCCAGTTTGGAGGTCTGTGTCACAGTGGGCATCAGGATGGCACGGATTGCTGAGGCAGGCATCAGGCAAGTGGCAAAGAAGCCCTGAAGAAGGAGATATGGAGGATAAAGCAAAACCTTCTTGTCTCCAGAGATTAAGCCCACCCCTTCACCATCCATCTTTGGGGGTCGTTTAAAATTAACACCAGCACTGCATGCTTTGTGATCACATCCCCAAGCTCCAGCCAAGGCTATCAGCTGTTATTTGAGATGTCAAATAACAGGTAGTTCTTTATGCAGGTAGTTCTTATATATTACAACCGTAGCGGAGCCTGCCTGTCACACTCACAACTCATAATTTATGGCAGTTATCAAATGACCATAAAATGAACCATAAAAATGATTTTGTGACCATTTCTGTGATGGTCACTAAGTATTAATGACATAGTTGTTAAGTTAAAGCAATGGTTTGCTCTAGGCGCAATTTTGCCAAAACCCTGAAGTAAGGCTAGTTTTTGATAAAGCCATCGTAAAATGTGGTTATGTAACCATGGGACACTGCAAATGGCCATAAATGCCCAAACTGCAGTCACGTGACCATGGAGGGAGACCATCAGAACTTCAAATCTGGTACATCCTCCAGGTAGGTTCATCAGAACTTTAAATGGTCTCTAAGCTGGAGGAGGTAAGTTGAGGACCACCTTTACATTAATTTACAGAGGTCTTCAAACATGACAACTTGTGGACCTGTGGACTTAAACTCCCAGAATTCCTCAGCCAGCCATGGGGAATTCTGGGAATTGAAGTCCATAAGTTTTAAAGTTGTGAAATTTGAAGACCCCTGGTTTACAAGATGGGAAAGGCTCACTCATGACCTATGGAAACAGGACAGGCAAGTCTGGCCACATGCATGAGCTGTGAGTGATAAAACCTGCTTCTGTTTTTCTGCTGTGGCCAAACCTCCTTCCTGCTTCAAACCTCCTTCACTTTGGAGGGGCTGAGAGCCATGTGCTTAGAAGAACGGGTGCTTCCTGTTCACCTCAGCCAGGTTCCAAGTCCAGTCCTTGCTACTTTTAGCCAACAACCTCTGAGAAAGATCCGGGCAATCCTATACAGTACGTCGATTTTGGCTGATCAGATTGAGCAGTTGTGATTTTCTCTTTGGGGACTGTTTTCAATGGTTATGGCAATATAGTAATAAACCGTGCAACTTTGATCAAGAAAAAGAAAGATTAGTGTGGCTTAGGAAGATTCTTCTGCAAGAAGACTTTGTGGGAAGCCCTCCCCCCTCTCCTAGAAGAATGAAATATGTTGAGAAATATTTAAAAAAAGGCAGAATATTATATTTCCCTAAATGAGAAATGGAGGTGTTTTTTTACAGGCAGGAAGCAGCCCTAGTTTCCCTGCCCCCCCCAATAGGAATTGCCCAACACCCTTTCAGAACACAAGCCCCTTCATTGCACCACCCCAGAGCAGTCCAAACGTCAAACCTGGGAGCTCAGATTAAACAATAAGCCAGAGGTTGATCAGATTAGGTCAGACAAGCACCTAGGATTTTCATTTCCTCTTTTGCCTATAGAGCCAACTATGATCCCATAGGAATCTGACAACAACCAATAGAACATTAAAGGACAAGTTCTTGCACAGGAACAGGAAGCTCAAATACAAAGCCCAAAGAAGGTATAAATCCCCTACACACTCTCAACTCCATTTTGTCAGCTGCACCAGAACCATAAACACTGGGGGGTTCCTGCTTCATCATTAAACCATCTTTCCAATCAGCCTTCATGTTTCCAGTGTCTTTCTCCCAGCTTGGAACAGAACCAGATGGATATTTCTTCCAACAACTTGTGTTTTTATATCTTTGTTCTATAAGTCCAGAATTCGATATATTTTTGGCATAGACAAACAAACCTTTGCAGATATGCTTCTTTGTTTCTTGCTTGCGTCTCACCTGTCCAGCCTTGGATGCAATGGCAGGTGTAGGACCTGATACCATCCTGGCAGGTGCCTCCGTTGAGGCACTGATGCCCTGCGCAGTCATCTGGATTCACCTCACAGTACTGACCAGTGTAGCCTATTTGAAAAACAGGAGATAATAAACGTAAGAGTCATTTTGGAGGGAACAAGACAGTGTCGTCAGCAATGACAAGGGAAGCTCCTGGGGGAAAAATCTCCAACCTTTCAGTGAGCAGGGGGAAGGGGGAAAGAGGAGATTATTTTGTGGGAGGGGCAAGTCCATGTACACATGCAGGTGTGTGCATGCACCTGCCACATTGATGGCGACACCTGTGTGAATGTGGCCGTGAGTTCCTGCGCCGAGACTCATGTGAGTCGGGCTGTAGACACTCGCATTGGGGCTATGTGTGCATGTCGAAATGCACACGCTGGCCGGCCATTCAAGCACCCCGGTGGTGATTAGCCTGTGGCCCAGTAGTGGGCCGTGGCCCACAGGTTGGGACCCCTATTCTAGAGGAACAACTTGAGAGCACACAACTCTTCCAGCCTCTCACTTCTTAGGATGCTTCCGCATCACGCTGTTTCCAATTCCTCAAATCCTCACAACACAACCTGAAAAACTTGAGATCATCTGCATAGCTATTGACCTCAATAGCTATGAGAAACAGCAGGGATGCTTCCGGTTTGCCAGGCTTCGGCGGCGGCAGGGACTCATGATCCTGCGCGATCCCTGTTGCGCTAGCCGTCTTGGTGCCTCCGATCCCGACGGGTCTGGAGGATAAGGCTGCCCCGTGGAGGCAGCCGAAGATAGGGGGGATCCGGATAGGGGTTTGGGGGTATCGCAGACCCCCTCTCCAGCCGGCAAAACCCCCTTTTCTCAAAGCGGTGGAGCGGCGGCCAGTAATGGCTGCCACAGAGAAGCCGGCAGCTGGACAAGATAGTGCTGGAGGAAGAATGAGAAAGTTTTAAAGTGAAAGTTCTTTGGCTGAACTGGGACTTTAAGATACATTTAAGATATATCTAACATCCTGAAAACTCATTTTTTGAACGATACTTTGTTTCCAGAGGAGATTTTTAAAGCGGCAAATGAAAGTGCTGAAAGAGAAAGTTTACTCTCCTTCCCTACGGAATTAACAAATGGACATTGAAAAACCTGCTTTTTTATAGAAGGTAAAAATTTAAAGCTCTTTGTTACAAGTGGGAAGGGAGAGGACAAAAAAAAAATTATATTAAGATCTTGTTGGAGGAGATGCCTGGAAGATTTTGAGACTAGAAGTTAATTGTAATAAGGCTTTAAAATACAGACTGTTTTTTTTTTTTTTCAATTGATATTACCCCAGGAACAGAAAGTGTAAAGGGAAGAACTTTGTGCTCTGTTTGGACTGCTTGATGACTCTGGGACTTTGGGGAACTGTTTTAAGCTTTGAAATATCTTGGTTGTTTTAAGAAGAAGAGGGAAAAAGAAAAAAGAAGAAAAGGTTTATAATGGCTTTATCTGTTGATGAACTAAGAAAGGAATATGGAAAAACAAAGAAAGAAGGCAAGGACGCTTTGGAAGAAGCCTTTCACTTTTTAGAAATGGCACTTGCTATTTATCAGCAAACACAACAACTGATGGAGGAAGCAGAAGAAGAAGAAGCCATCTTTAATGAATCCAAAAGTTTGATTAAGAAAGAAAGGAGAAAGAGAGGAAGGAAAATGAAGGACTTAAGATCTAAAAAATCACCCAAGAAAGAGAAAAATAAGATGCAAAATCAATACAATGTTAGAAAGCAAAAGAAAAGAGGAATACAACAGAGAGGGGAAGCTAAAAAGGCGGAGGTTAGGAGAGGGGGGGGTAAAAAGGCCAGGTGGGATAAGAAAGGAAGGGAAAAGGGGAGAAAAAGCCACAAAGATATGAAACAAGATGGGAAAAAGCAAAAAAAAAATTTAGGAATAAAGGGTAATGTATAATATTTTTTTTAAAAAAAAAAAGATTCTGCAAGGTACATAAGATAGTATTGTAGTATTTGTATTAGAAATAGAAAATTAGAATTTTATAAGATCTAAAAAAAGATTAAAATATTAAAATGCTTAATAATGATAGATTTTAAGATTTAATAAAATATTAAAGGGAATGTTTAAAATATTTAGTTCAATTATAGAATTTAATTGACTATTGTGTTGATGCTATTATAAACTTACAATTGCAGCATTGTTTTTGAAATAGATAACTGGAATGTTACAAGATTTAATATTTAATTATGTACTTAATTATTTTATAGATATACTATTTTCTCTTTTTCTTAAAATTTAGTAGGTAGGATGTACTAAGCAGAATCAGATTGGGAACTAGGTGTTATTTTAAATGTTAATTTAGGGGAACGATAGAAAGGCATCATACTTCAATTAGTGATTTCAGGAGAAATCTTTTTTTTTTTATTATAGGGAATGAGATAAATGGATAATTGGAAAAGAATAGACAAAAGATACAAGTATAATGATTTAAACTAAGATGAAATAAATAAAATAGAATTAAGAAGAGTGAAAAGCGGGGGGAAGCTATAGAATGGTAAATAAGATAGGTAATGGTATATAAGATGAGAATGAATTTAATTGAAGTCCGTATAAAGAGAGGTAATCCGGGGCCAAGCCACTTTCTTAAAAGAAGTTTTATGTTTTTGTGTTTTGTGTGCTTATGTTTGTTGGAGAATTAATAAAACCTTGGAGAAATGTCAGATGAGAATAATTGTAAACAAGTCAGAGGGAAATATGAATATGATGACTATAAAATGAATAAATATAGAAAAGAAATGTAATTGAATAAGAGTAAAGAGAAATAATGAGAAATTTGCTAAAAGATATTTATGTGTCCATATGGAAATGGGATAGATTAGAATTATGTTGTATGAAATAATGTGTTATCTGCCTTGTAAAAATTTATAATGGAAAGAGGTTTTATGTGTTCAATGTTTAATGATGTTTTGTTTGTCTTTAAAATTAATAAAATTTGTCTCAAAAACAAAAGAGAAACAGCAGGGACATGTCATGACTAATTTGTAAAAAAAAAACAAAAAAAACCCAAAGCACAACCTAATAGCCATTATAAGGGGAATTTTCCTGACCGCAAAGCCACCATTCTTCCGTTGCATTTAAAAATCTCTTCACAACTCTCATCTTGAAAGGGTGCCTTGAAATTTTGAAACTGTCTTTCCTAATATAGTTATCCTTGTTTAGAAGGAAATGAACAACTAGCAGATGACCTGAATGTGTTTTACTGCAGGTTTCAAAAGAAACTACAGCCACCTATCTCCACAACCCACATCTCAAACACACCAACAGCAGCCAAGCCTCCTACAACCGGCCCCAATCCATTGGATTCATAACCTCTGGTGATCACAGAAAAAGAAGTGCAAGATCTATTACACAGACAGAAGCCAGGAAAAGCACCAGGGCCAGACAAGATAACTCCTTCTTGCTTAAAAGTCTGTGCTGACCAATTGGCCCCCATCTTCACCCGAATCTTCAATAGATCACTAGAGATGTGCTATGTTCCTTCCTGCTTCAAACGCTCTACCATCATCCCAGTGCCAAATAAACCCTCCATCAAGGAACTGAATGACTACAGACCAGTTGCTCTAACATCTGTAGTTATGAAAATCTTTGAAAGGCTTGTGCTGTCCCACCTGAAAACCATCACGGATCCGCTTTTGGATCCCATGCCGTTTGCATACCGAGCAAATAGATCGACAGATGATGCTGTTAATATGGCTCTGCATTACATCCTACAACACCTTGAATCTCCAAATACCTACGCAAGGGTCCTCTTTGTAGACTTCAGTTCAGCATTCAATAACATCATTCCAGACACTCTTCTAAGTAAGTTAAACTGACTAGCGGTACCTGAACACACTTGTAAGTAGATCATAAGCTTCCTAACAGACAGGAAGCAGCAGGTGAAGCTAGGCAGAATCACATCCGATACCTGTACAATCAGCACAGGGCCCCTCCAAGGCTGTGTGCTATCTCCACTTCTCTTCTCCCTATATACCATGACTGCATCTCAAATGATCCATCTGTTCAAATACTGAAGTTTGCTGATGACACAACAGTGATTGGTCTCATTCGAGAAAACGATGAATTTGCATACAGACAGGAGGTTATACAACTTGCCTCGTGGTGTAACCGGAACAATCTGGAATTGAACACACTCAAAACTGTAGAAATGGTGATAGACTTTAGAAGAACCCCTCCCATACTGCCACCTCTTACAATACTAGACAACACAGTATCAACAGTAGAGACCTTCAAATTTCTAGGTTCTACTATATCACATGACCTAAAATGGACACCTAACATCAAAAACATCATCAAAAAAGCACAACAAAAAATGTTCTTTCTTCGCCAACTCAGAAAACTCAAACTGCCCAAGGAGCGAATTATTGAGTCTATCATCTGCACCTCTATAACTGTCTGGTTTGGTTCTGCAACCCAACAGGACAGACACAGACTTCAGATGATAATTAGGACTGCAGAAAAAACAATTACTAACAACCTTCAATTGAGGACCTGTATACTACACGAGTCAAAAAGAGGGCTGTGAAAATATTTACAGACCTCTCACATCCCGGACATAAACTGTTTCAACTCCTTCCCTCAAAACGATGCTATAGAGCACTGCACACCAGAACAACTAGACACAAGAACAGTTTTTTCCCGAAAGCCATCACTCTGCTAAACAAATAATTCCCTCAACACTGTTCAACTATTTACAAAGTGTACACTACTATTACTGTTAATCTTCTCATCACTCCTTTTCACCCATTCCCTCCCACTTATTATTGTAGGACTGTATCTTTATTGCTTGTATCCGTACGATTTATATTAACTGTTTCCTAGTATGATTTGATTGTTGATTGTACCCTATGACTATCATTAAGTGTTTTACGTTATGATTCTTGATTCTTAATGAATGTACCTTTTCTTTAGGTATATTGAGAGTATTTACACCAAGACAAATTCCTTGTGTGTCCAATCACACTTGGCCAATAAAGTATTATATATATAGTATCTACAACCGGGACCAGCAATTTAGTTCTTAAGACTGGCACCATTAACAGAGCTTTGACAGTAAGTTATTTTGGGGTCTGATTCAGTTAGATGTATTGGCTTGAAACTCAAACAGTTAGAGTACAGGAGTAAAGAACT